GTAAGCCACCGCGCCTGGCTGGCTGGAGGGGATTATCTTTCAAAGGCCCTTCTTGCTGTAGGAGTCCTTCCTCCGGGATTGATAAAGTGGAGTCTTAGCCCAGCTGCTGAGGGTTCTGGGTAGGGGCTGGCGGGGACTGGTTATCTGAAACCACAGTGCAGGACCAAAAAGCAGAGGTCGACCTTATCAAGGAGTGCCAGGAAGCCAGGGTCACCGGGTGGAGAAAGCAAGGAGAGGGCCTGCCTGGGAGAATGGCAAGGATAGAGGCTGTCACTAGAGCCTGAGTGACTGGCCTTGACTTCTCCAGGAGGCAAGGTACGTGGAGGGCTGGCCGGGTTTCAAGGGCTCCGCTCCTGGTTGACAGAGTCCTTGGTTCTCTATTTTTTTCATATGAGGTTACACTGTGAGATCTGAAGGCAACCTGGAGAGTTGCAGAACGATTTACACACAAACAATAGCATTGAATAAGTGACTTTTAAAGATTAATTCTTAGAGAATAACTTTTACCTAGATGTTTACATTTTCAAAAAATCATCAATTTCAATAAGATCATTTTGCATTTCTATTTACCAGTGACAATTAAAAAATAATAGTGCAACAGATGATATTCAATATTTTGGAAATGAAGGAGAACTATTAAAAGAAAAACTTAAATTCACAATAGGAAAAAACAGAATAAATGGAGAGATATTTTCTGTTCCAGAATCAGAAGATTTAATGAAGTTAACATGCTATACTTAATATCCAATCTAATTTATGGAGTTAATAGAAATTACATTCCCAATGTACTGTCTTATGGAAATTGAGATAATTTATTCCCTAATAAAATTTTTATAATGAAAATAATAGGCTGGATGTGGTGGCTCACATGTGTAATCCCAGTGCTTTGGGAGGCCAAGGATGGAGGATCAAAGAAAAGAAAAGAATAGTTAAGCACACTAAAGAGTTTTTTGAAAAGGTATAAGCCAATGATATGAAAAATTACTGTTAATATTTAAAGTATATTTAAAATGTTAACAAAGGGCCAGGCGTGGTGGCTCATACCTGTAATCCCAGCACTTTAGGAGGCTGAAGCAGATGGATCACCTGAGGTCAGGAGTTCGAGACCAGCCTGGCCAACATGGTGAAACCCCGTCTCTACTAAAAATACAAAAGTTAGCCGGGCGTGGTGGTGGGGCCTGTAATCCCAGCTACTCGGGAGACTGAGGCAGGAGAATTGCTTGAACACGGGAGGTGGAGGTTGCAGTGAGCTGACATGCTGACATCTTGCCATTACACTCCAGCCCTGGCAGTGAGAGCAAAACTACATCAAAAAAAAAAAAAAGTTAACAAAGGACATTTACATTTTATGATATTGATATGCTATGGGCCGGGTATGGTAGCTCACGTCTGTAATCCCGGCACTTTGGGAGGCCTAGGCAAGTGGATCACTTGAGGTTGGGAGTTCCAGACTGGCCAACATGGTGAAACCCCCTCTCTACTAAAAATACAAAAATTAACCAGGGGTGGTGGCGCGTGCCTATAATCCCAGCTACTCAGGAGGCCAAGACATGAGCATTGCTTGAACCCAGGAAGCGGAGGTTGCAGTGAGCCAAGAGAACGTCACTGCCTCTCAGCCTGGGCACAGAGCGAGACCCTGTGTCAAAAAAAAAAAAATTAATATGATATGATAAATTGTATGATACAGGATTCAAAGCAGAACAGTAGACTGATTAAAAACACAATAGGGATTACAATTGTTCTTTCTAAATTTTTTATTTCTTTTAATTTTTTATTTATTTTTTAGAGACTGAGCCTTGTTCTGTCACCCAGGCTGGGGTGCAGTGGCACAGTCATAGCTCACTGCAGCCTCAAACTCCCAGTCTCGGTGGCCCTCCCGCCTCAGCCTCCCGTGTAGCTAGAACTACAGGTATGCACCATCGTGCTATGCTAACTTTTAAAATTTTTTGTAGAGGCATGGGTCTTACTGTTTTGCTCTGACTGGTCTCAAACTCCTGACCTTAAGTGGTCTTCCTGCCTTGGCCTCCCAAAGTGATGGGATTACACACATGAGCCACCATGCACAGCCCCAGTGGTTCTAAACTTGATAAAAGGTTAATTAAAAAAAAGTCTAGGATAACAAAATAAGAAAGGAATCATATTTAATAGACATAATTGAGAAAAGTTGATATAAAACACTTATGTCCTCTGATGTCATTTATTATAACAGTCTCCAGATGTTTTATTTTTATTTCATTTTATTTTTTATTGTATTTTATTTTTTCTGAGACGGAGTCTCGCTCTGTCACCCAGGCTGCGTGCAGTGGCACAATCTCGGCTCACTGCAAGCTCCGCCTCCCGGGTTCACGCCATTCTCCTGCCTCATCCTCCCGAGTAGCTGGGATTACAGGCCCCCGCTACCATGCCCATCTAATTTTTTGTATTTTTAGTAGAGATGGGGCTTCACTGTGTTAGCCAGGATGGTCTGGATCTCCTGACCTCATGATCCGCCCACCTCGGCCTCCCAAAGTGCTGGGATTACAGGCGTGAGCCGTCGCGCCCAGCCTAATAATCTCCAGATGTTTTAAAGAATTAACATTGAAAGTATCTCTTTTAAAAGTTAAACTAATTAGTATATATGTAATAGTTATCCAGCTGTGGTGGGTGAATTAATTTTGCTAGTATTAAAGCAGTAGGCTAGGGCTGGGTGCAGTGGCTCATGCCTGCAATCCTAACATTTTGGG